CATCTGATAACATTTACTGCCAGGCACCTATTTACTTCTTACAAAGATCTGGAGTCTGGTCCCTTTTCCTTAGAAACACATGATCCTTGAGAAGAGACTTGTCCTTGGTTATATATCTAGTAAATGAGGTTGCGATTTGAATGCAGAGTTGTCTGGCTCAGAGCTTGCTCTTTTAGCCACTATATGATGCTGTCTTGTATCTTTGTGCCCCATGTGTTCCTTTGCGTTCATACTATTGGTCGCTATGTTTATATGTTCCTCTATGTAACATATAAACCATCTTCCCAGGTCCTGATCAAAGCTTGCCAATCTCCTCTATGGCATTCTCTGACCAGATCAGTTTACCATGATCTCTTCAGAGCTTAACACCAGCTCTTTCTGAAATAACAGAAATGGATACTTCAGAAGGAAGTATACTAGGAAGGAGAAGGGAAAGGATTCTCAGTTAACTATTTGGTAGCAGAAAGGTGACAGAGCTCAAAATATCATAATTCCCTCCACTGATGGACATCTACATATCAAATTTGATCCAAACCTGGGCTTTCTGAATTGGCCATTTTACTAGGTAGGTGATACTTAATCATTGCATTAAAATAGCTATGTCAACAAGTTTTGTGACTACCAGATGTATCTAATTGAGGAAATTCCTTCTCTTAGCTTATAAAATATAACAAAATGGTTTCTACTCCTTTTCTCACCATTTTTTATTACCTGAGAAAAATCTGGGAGTCATTAGGGGTTGTCATGTGGGTATGTGGATGACCAAATGTTTGAGGGCACTCAAGACAAACTGAGTGTCTGACAAAAGGAATATAGCAACAACTTCTTCATGAGTATGACCAAGGAAATTGGGTTTATCTATTCATCAGAAACCTCTGGTATTAAGTATCATATTTACATCATCGATAATAATTCTTTCCAAGCAGCTTTCACTAAGAAACCAGAAAAAGTTACCTATGGCGCCTGTTAGAAGGTTCTCAATGGTAATATGAGTCACAGAAAACTATTTGTTATTCATGTTGGAGAGAATTCTAGTAAGGAGAAAGGAAAGGATACTCAATCAGCTCAGGTGATGGGTGCTCATACATGTATATGTGTGTTCCAACACACATACCCATGTGCACGCACAAATATACACCCTTCTAATAGCTGCTATCAAAGCTATGAAATGTGGATGTAAACAATGTTCCCTGATAGACCTTGGTCTTTACAAGTGACTCACAAGGATGTTTAAAATTAGACCATCACTGCAGTTTTCAAAGTATCTCATTTTCACTTGAATATGTAATTTGTTTAAGAAAGGTCACATTTGGAAATACTCAAACCTAACTGCAATTCTGTAATGGAAATTGTTCTATATACTAAGAGAGAAAGCCCAAGAAAATGAAAAACAATGAATCATTAGATTAATTTCATCTATTTCTGAATTCAATGGCAACTATCTCATTTGTATAGTGTAATTTGATAGATAGGGATCTGCCATCATTCACTAAGGAAAAGACACATTTATTTACTGGTCGCCCATGTGAGGGAAAGCAAGTGGATGAAGATGACAGTCAAATTTCTTGGCTGAGTGGACTGCTGTCAGAGCCAATTCCTCTGAGTGTCCGTAAAACACCTTTTAGACAGCAACACAGTTCAGTGGTCAAATGCAGATTTTATCCAACCTTTACCAATTCCAATTTTGTGATTTCTTTTTAAAACAGTAAACAAAAGCAATGCATAGGAAAAGCTATGATTTTGTTCAAAATATAAAAAAATCGTTTTCATTAAACTATATCCCAGATGCCTACATTAATTAATATTTAATACAGATATATAAACCCATCATAGTATATGCTTACATGTACATTTGTTACATATGTAGCATATACACACGTATATACACATACACACATATATACCATCATGGTATTTTCTCAATATTAAGAAGGATGTTTATTGAAAACCATTTACATAACTTTGACACACAAACATAAAGCCAAAATCGTGGATTACTCAAATGATATTCTGACTTTTAACACTATCAAGAATGTTGGTCTTAGTCATAATTAGCTATCTAAATTGTTCTCTTTTTGTATGTTCTTCAGAAATTTGAAAAATTCAAGGAGAAAGTCCTTTTTATATGTTTTTACATTTGTGTTCTTGTCTTCTGGGATTCTGCTAAGCTCTGATTTCCTAAGCATGTATCATACTTCACATTCCCATTATCTAGACCCAAAAATGGCACATACACAAATTTTATTTGCTGAGAAAATTAATAAGTGATTTTCTTTTTTTAAAAAAATAACCATTCCTTATACTAAAACAAGAATATAATTTGAAGTAAAAGATTAAACTGTCTACTATTTGAAACACCATATTAAAAAATGGCCAAACAGCCAGGCACAGTGGTAATTCCAATGTCAGGAGGATCTCAAGTTCACCACCTGGTGTGGTGGTGCATGCCTGTAATCCCAGTGCCTGGGGAGGCTGAGGAAGAGGATCCCAAGTTCAAGGGCAGGCTCAGTAACCTAGCAAGGCTCTAAGCAACATAATAAGACCCTGCCTCAAATTTAAAAAAAGGTCTTGGGATGTGATTCAGTGGTTAAGTGTCCCTGGGTTCTATCCCCAGGGCCAAAAAAAAAAAAAAAAAAAAAAAAAAAAGCCATTAGTGAGTCCATCATATTCTGTGTCATATTTCATTTTGGTATTCAAAAGTTAAAAAGGCACAGAAAATGAAAGCAGAAGCTACAAAATTGTCTTAAGAATGGACAAACAGAGTTGCTATTTTTTTTAAATGAATAAAATATTAAGGGTCTTCACAATGCTTCATTTCTAACCTAATCTTATATGGAGGCATTTATCTAATCTTATGACAAGGCATTCAGAGATTTGGAATTTGGGATAAGCCACAAAAGGCTAAAGCTTCATGTCTCCCTGCCACTGTCTAGTCACCCACTCTTGAAGTGGCAGAACCCTGGTTATCCCACAACCAAAGCTTCCACTGTAAGAGTTTGGAAACTTACGTATAATCCCTTCCCAACATATAACCTATATAGCCAAGCCCTTTTCCCTTTCTCATTTCTTAATATAAATGACTGCTTGATGTTTCTCTTTGGTTTTCAATTCTCTAGTTTTAATTTGGCTACCTCTAGATATCTGTGGCAAATACCATGGAGGTAGTACATTAAAGGACTTACACCGAACATGGAACAATCCATTTTGCACAGGTAGCCCAATCTTTAGCATTCAAGCAATTCTTTCAACAATAAAGAAAGGAAGAAATACTGAAAACAATTACTAACCTTAGAAGATCATTTAGAAGAGTTACTTAAGAAAATGAAGAAACATCTAGAACCCTGATTCTAATACAGCCCTTGGGTGTTTCCTATGAATATTTTGTTTGGATATATTCACTTGTACTTTACAATTTTAAACTATGGAAAAGTAAACACATTTCTTTTAGGAGAGCAATAACACATTCCAGGATATATATTTATAGCCCTTAGAGGTACTAGCACTGGTGTCATATACTACCTTCAATCCTTAGAAACAAGCAAGTAACTGTCAATGTGAGAACTGTAATATTGCTGTGACACATGACTGCCATATTTATTCAGGTGTGTAAGGCAGCCTCCTCTTCAAAGCAAGTATGAAATGGTAGAAATTAAGAATACCTCTGACCTTGAACAAAGAAATATGGTAGAAAAGAAATCCATGTAAAATTCCATTTATGAGTAAATATTATTTTCTCCCAGGCCGTCAAACATGTGGATGTGAAATTTTAAAAAGCTTTACTGTCAATATTTAATTATAAATAAAAATTCTAAATCCCATCTGGGATTACTCAAAGAACTACAACTAGAAACTTAAATTATTACCTTTAAAGTGATTCAATTCAGGACCTGGGAGCACTGTCCTTCCTAAATTTTTCCTTGGTAATGTCCAAATACTATATAAAACCATAGTCAGATAATGTTCAACTTCTCATGGTGTGACTTTCATTCTTAGGGATTAATTAGTGAGGCAATTTTGTTGTTATGACTTGTATGTTTTGTTGTGATTGCCACCAAAGTATGGTGGAAAAATAAATGCATGATGTGCTGGTTTTGCAGGTCTATTATGTCCATTCCTGTGGGGAATACCTCATGAAAATTCATTCTCAGACTGCCCCAAGGCTATGTGGTAGACATTTTACAACTCACATAATAGCCATTTCAGCCCACTTGAAGATTAGTTTCAAGGGACCAGAATACAACTCTCATTACCATCACTTTTCAAAATCAACATCTCAAAACAGAAAAGTAAAGTGGAAAAAAATATTCTTGAATAATTTTCCAATCATCCGTCTCCCCCAAACAGTTAAAAGTCTGTCATAGGGATGAATAAATTAAAACAACCTAGATGGAAACAGATGGTGCTTTGTCACTTTTCCTATCTGATTTAAAGGCTCCACTGGGGAAGGACCTGTCATTTAAGAATCTTCTTACTCTATAATATAAACAACAGGATGGATGTTCCTTCTTTCTCCATTCCTCTCTTCCTTATTTCCTTTTTATATTCTCTCTCTCCTTCCATTCCTTTGTATCTATCTACTTTTCTGACAAGTAAAGTCTTAACATTCCCCAATGATGATTTTAAGTGCAGTCAATTTATAGCATGAACCAGCAGGTAAATATACAGTCTGTCTAGTGGGGTGGAATTAAGCATTCAGCCACAGACAGAAAGCCAATACTATACCAAATGGGACCACATGGTATTGGTGACCATTGACATCTGCATGCAAATCCTTAACTACTATTACTCATGAATCTCTCCAGATACAGTTTGTAATCTTGTCTCTCAGTGGCTGTCTCTAGTTTGTTTCTGCATTAAGCATGATAAATGCATTTTAGAACTTGACAGTAAAAGATTAATATGCTCATAACCATCAAAGAGAACCTTTCACTGATTTCAAATAGCTGTTCTCTCTGCAACTGCCATCCCCCTCCCACACACACCATCCAATTAATACTTACTCACGAAGGCTTCCTCATCCACCGGCAAACGCATTGACATGCAGAAGTATGTATCAGACTATTAAAGAAAGAAAGATACAAAATTCAAATTAAACTCTGCTAATAAGAAAGAAATAATAACTGCTAAATGCATGACCTCTATGACTGGAAAAGTCATACTGGTCCTGGCAGGTGAGGCTGCCTTCTTGGAGAGAGATGGCAGATTATTAGAAGGGCTAAATTTAGAATGTAGATACCTTAAATATTTTTCTAAGATTCTTTCCTAAACAATTTTAGAGCCTATTTATAAAGCTAAGTATCATGAGTATTGTCACAGTTAAAAGGCAACATATTAGATTCCTATATATAATATGTGGAACGGTTTAATGTATTTTATTTGAAAATGGTGAGAGTTAGTTTTGAACATCTTTGCTATTTGCAAAATTAAATTTCTTTAATTTCCTGAATCACTTTACAAGTGTCCCAAATACTAGGAAATACAATGAATAAAAGTTGGTCTTAAATATAATATTGCATTTAGTTGTTCTCCTTTAATTTAAAAGTTGTATGGAGCATATTGGAGAAATCAACATTAAATTCAAATTTTTCCTTCTTTTCCAGTTATTGGCCTTCCATCTAACTGGTACTTTTTCCACAATCAAATATATTAACATCAAGAATTTTCAGTAAGCAGGGTGTGGTGGTGCATACCAACTACTGAAGAGGCTGAGGGTGTAGAAGGTATGAGCCCAGGAATTCAAGGTCAGCCTGAACAACACAGTGAGACACTATCTCTAAAAACAGAAAGGAAGGAAAAAAAAAAAAACTTAGTGATAATTTCAATTTAAGGACAATGAATTTTTGAGGATCTGTCACTCCAATTCCTTAAAGGAAGTTAAAACACTGCAAAGTATGTGCTATGATTGACCATATACCCAATGCAAAGATAGGCTGTACTCATTTAAAAATTCATCATAGATTATTATTACATATAGAGCTGTAATCAACAGCCTCCACCAACATGGAGAGAGATCATGATATAAAGCTTCTAAAATTTTAGCAACTAAAAATTGTAAATTTAACCTCATTTTTAGTTTTGTGTTGAGAAGCAAACAGGTTCAAATAATGTCCAATATCTTGATATTTGATACAATATCAGTGTTACAATTCAGATACAATTCAGTGTTGCAATTTTTGCACATGTTATGCACTGTGTTATTTTTCTCAATTTGGTAAAGAGTTAATTTCTAAAAGTATTTACAATTATTTAGATTGAATCTTATTTTTTTGATGAGGAAATATTCTGAAAAGCACTGAAGGTTGCACAATAAGAGGTTAAGTCACATATAGGCTGTAGAAATAAAATGTATAGGAGATCTTATAATCTTACTGATAAATATATTTCCAGTCTATTGATTAATAGTGTTCCAAAATATACCTACTCTGGTATAAAATAAAAATAATAAGCTAAAGATTCTTTTGTATCTTATCATCATGAGCAATGAGTAATTTAAAACCAAAAGACATTTCATGGTTCCTTTAGCTGCTGCTGCTACTATTGCTATTTCTAGCCAATATGCTTATTATATGTAAGATGTGATTTTTCAATGTTTTCCTTGCATGCCATTTGATAACTAAATTAATCAAATTTGGTAGATACTATAAACTTCATTTTTAAGATAATAAAATAACAAAACATTTATTGAGAAGTCACGAGGTACAGGCACTATTTAAGCACTTTACATGTACTAACTCTAATCCTCAAAACACATATATACTACATGGATACTGTTTTACCCATTCTACGGACAAGGAAACTGTGGCAAATCAAGTTTACATACAAAGAATCTTTACAAAGATTCTAATAATGGACTGTCTCCTTGGAAGTATCTTTTCAGAGCTAATTCTGTTTTGCTGAGCCTTCTTCTCCACTAAGTAGCAATATTGGCTTTAAGAGCTTCAGACTCCCAGTTTAAATCATTTTGTCTGTTTCTCTCCCCATACACATTAATTAAGAGACTTGAGCAAACACTGGCAAATTTTCTAACAGCTCAAGTCTGCATCACTTGGATGACTGAGAAAGTTGAATGCTGCCAGAAAAAAATTTGTTTGTTTTAGGGCTGGGGTTGTGGCTCAGTGGTAGAACACTCGCCTAGCACATGTGAAGCACTGGGTTCAATGCTCAGCACCACATATAAATAAATAATATAAAAAAAATAAAGTATTGGGTCCATCTACAACTAAAAAGAATATATATATTTTTTTTTAAAAAAATTATGTTTGTTCCAGTGAAAACATGATACACAGGCATAGGCTCCTTAGCCCCCTATTAAAGCAGCTATTTTAGAAGGCATGCAACTATAAGTCCTTTCTCTGTCACTCTGAGATATAAAGCTTCTATTACCCAAAACCTTCCTCAAGTATTCAAGGAGATAAATGCTCAGCTCCCTATCCCTTGCTCTAACCTACACTACTACTTCCTGTTGTAAAGTTTGTTTCTCCTCCGAATAAGAGGCAATTAACAAATTCAAAGTCACATATGCCAGCCCCTTTCACACTCCCAGCAAGTTCCCCTCAGCAAAACCTAATCTTTAAAAGGTCTCTTTCCTTCTGTTGTGGCAAAGTTAAGTACACAATGGATATTCCTCCCTATTTCAACTGTCGCTACTGAATAAAAATCCATTCTTACCACTTTCACTAGGGTCAGGTTTATTTGTCTTTGATAATAATAAGTATACCAGCTGGGATCTGAACACAGACCATCTGACTAATGCATTACAGGTCCTTCAAAGCACTGAGTTATAAAACAAATATAAAAACAAAAGTAAACAAAGTAGCTAAGCATCTATTTATAACAGAAAAGGATCAAAATGTGATAAGATGTAAATGAAACCAAAGTTCTTTTTAATTTGAACTAACAGTTTCTGATTTTACTCTTTGATTTTATTATAAAACATTGAAAGCTTTTTTAGGAATAGGCAAGTTATACATGTAAAGTAGATATGTCAAATTCAGTCAGTTGGTTCTTTTAATAAAAACAATAACATGGCTGGGGTGTAGCTCAGTGGGAAAGCCCTTGCCTAGCATGCTTGAGGCCATGGTTTCATTCCCAGCACCAATCTAAAAATAAACAAAACAAAAAACAAATAAAAAACCCAAACCCATAAGACTAAGCACAATGATAACATATAATACACATAATAAAGAAAACTGCTATTTATACTTATAAATGATCAGATGTATACTGTAACTCTTGTTGTTACTATTAGTTGCTCAATTTAAAATGATAGAATAAATTGGGAATGTCTTTTATCAATTTATATTCTTGGCTTATAACTTCCTCAGTAATGGAAAATTGTTCAGATTCCAACTGTTTCTTTCCTGAGCTATTGAAGTCAGTTGGGGAAAAAAAAAGAAAAGAAATGAGAGAGACCTGTTTAAAACTGCACTGTCCTACACAATTCTTTTGGAACAGCAAAGTTTTCCTTAGAAGGTGTACCATGCACCATTACACTCTGATTTAATATTTTAGTTTTATGTTCCATATTTTAGAAGATTAAATTCTGTTGGAAAAAGAGAATGCAAAACTTTTCCTTCTAAATATGAGTACATTTAAAAATACACTCTGCATTGAATCAATAATGTGCCTTTAGCTGAAGGCTCTGAAGACCACAGTTCAATAGAACAGAGAATATCAAAAAGTAATTTATTCTTTTCTCTGCAACTGTACAAGACATGTGTGATTCTGTTCTGGAATATTTTGCTATCATGAGTTGCTTTCTGGAATTAAGTTGAGAGCTTAAGATCTATGTAAAAAAGGTAAACCACTGGTCATTTGCACAATTCAACTGGAAAAGCCACGCCTTAAAGATGACTCTTACAACTTCTGTCCTCCTCAGGCTGGATGGATATGAGTAAGCACTTTTTATTTTTTTAATGTTACTTTATTTGATTCTTATAGGTATTATACCATTTTTTTTGGTTGTTGTTGTTGTTGTTAACAGAAATGAAAACTGACTCACAGAAAGATTATTACATAGATACCTTACAAAAAGTTGTCCAGGTAGTTAGTGCTGGAGTTGGGCTTGAAAGCCTTCAAGATTGTGCCTTCAAGACCATGAGAGATAATGAAATATATTCTTGTAATTTTCTTATTGTCAAATTTACTTTATTTAAATTGTGATTCTACTTGGTCTTTTTTATTTGTGGGGGTGGTGGTTATCAGGGATTGAACTCAGGGCACTCAACCACTGAGCCACATCCCAAGCCCTATTTTGTATTTTATTTAAAGACAGGGTCTCACTGAATTGCTTAGTTCCTGGCTTTTTACTGAGGCTGGCTTTGAACTTGTGATTCTCCTGAATCAGCTTCCCAAGCTGTTGAGATTATAGACTTGCACTATCATGCTTTGCACTCTGGTTTTAAAATGTTGTTGCCTTTGTTTTTCTCACCAAGAGACTATATTTAATATTTAAATAAAATCGAACTTTCTCAATTCGTTATAGGCAAGTGAAGACTTTTTGAAAATAAGACATATATTTTTTTGGTGTATGAATCAGACAGTAGCCTTTGCCAAATTATCATGAGCACATTAAAGCATAGGGAAAGAAAGAAAGAAAGATTATTCAGATGATTATAAAATATTATTTCATCAGTACAGGTTAATTTCTGTAGTAGATCAACAAGAATTGGTGATTACTTTAAATTTAAATTCTATGCTATAAGTAGCAGTTATGTTAAAAATTTCATTGTATAATAATGTGTATCCATGAGGTTAACTGTCACAAATCCTGTGATCAAGCAATGTTGGTTTTTTTTTAAACAGACTCTGAACACAACAATATCAATAAAAGTTGAAAAATATAGTTCCTCAACAGAACCTTCCTATGTGCATATATAAATAAAGAGCCAGTGAAACTCCTCATCATGTACAACCGCAAGAATGGGGTCCTAATTAGAATGTTATGTTCCATGTAAGTATAAATATATCAAAATACCCTCTACTGTCATGTATACCTAAAAATAACAAATAATATATATATATACACACACACATATACATTCTCTCTCTCTCTCTCT